AAAGTGTACTCAATTTGCACTATTTCTGGCAGTCTGCAAAGGCCCTGAATCAGGATGGTAAACACCCCTCTTCCATTAGTCCCTCACGTCCTGTGTGATCTAATTCAGATCTGTCGATCCAACTTGTTGAATATGCTCTGGAATCGATTCTTTTCAAAAGAACTGCCAAAGAACTAGTGTCAGGAAACAGCAGGTTTTTTGTGATTGCAACTGAGCTCAATAGGATCAGGGCTGGTTTCAATTGAGAACAACGGTCATATAACCCGATCTGAAATTTGCTTTAAATCATAGTGGGGACGAGGTACCCTTTGGGTTTGCTCTCTTTCTTTTTTTCTGTTAAAAGGTTTAGAGGTCCATCCTCCCTTCCCCCCCAGTTCCTCATTTAATTAGGCAAATTGAATTGCAAGCTGGAGACATTCTGCTCTGTCCCCAGTTCCTTTCTATGGCTTGTTCTCCTGGCCATCCTCCAGTTTAATCACATTTAGTTGAGCATGGATCGGTTGCTCAATCCCATTTTTCTTGCTGATGGAAGGCAGCTGTATTAGTAAGCTAATTAAATACTCTGCACTTAGTTTATGTGAGTCAGTTACTGGCATGTATTGGCAAGAAGAGAGCATAGGATTTTGTGAGGCTTGCCAGAAATCAGCAAGGGCTATGGATGCCCTTTTGGTTTCATGATAAAATTCTTAAAGTGGAAGCTAGAAAAAGATTTTCAGTTCCACTGGGGCTGAAATGTATGTTTAAGGATGCTGAAATGGCAGGGATCGGTTGGCTCTAAGGTTATCACAACTACCTGCAGGTGACTAGAAAGAGAATGCAAAAGTAAATTAATTGGGGAAGGTGAAAAAATTAAATAGAGCAGATTGTTCATTTATTCTCTCATTTAATATCCACCTTTTCCCCAAAACTGGGACCCAAGGTGGCTCAAAATGTGATTAAAAATAAACACAACTAATAACTCAGTTATAGTATTGGATGACCACATCAGGCAATAACTGTGGGGGATTTCGTACAGTCTTAGATTAGTTTGGCAAATAAGTAAAAATAAAAATTCCTTGCCATGGTATGGCATGCCAAAAAATCCTATAAAATTATGCAAGCTGGGGAAACTTGAATGTGCTGGATGTTTTCTACTTCTCCTGTAGTGCACCTTTGCTCTGTTAGTAAGCATGATGAATACAAGAGACAGAACTTTTGTGCTGTGATCAATGAAAGTCTAACCACATCATTCTTCTGCACTGCTAGCCTCTAAACCTAATTCTCTAGGTCATCCTCCAAGCTACTAGAGCCTCCCCACCTCCAATTTTAAAAAAATTCTGGGCATTTCTTTGACCCAAGACACTAAAAATGTGTCATATATATGGGCTGAAAAATGAAACTGGAACTGACAACAGTTTTTTCTTGTTTCACCAGGCCTCCACTAGAAATGTAAATGGGCTGAAAAATGGCCCCAGTGCATTTGCTCACCCCAGCCTTACAAAGTGTTGTTTGGATCTTATAGATATGAGACTACAGATGCTTAATCTCTGTGTATTGAGAATATTTTATTTTGATTCATTAAAATGGTAATTTGTTTACAAAATGCCATCTATTCACCTGCAAAATGGGTTTTCCAATTCATTTATTTTTTCCTTTGTAAAATTTTAGCGTCTAGTTGTGAAACCTGATCAGTTGATCAAACGACGTGGCAAGCTCGGCTTGGTGGGTGTAAATCTTGATTTAGATCAAGTGAAGACATGGCTGAAGCCACGTCTTGGACAAGAAACCACAGTAAGTTATCATTATTTCTGTATCTGGCCTGTTTATGTTAGTAGCTGCAACACTACAGCCCTTTTGAAGGAAGAGTAGAACATGAACAAAGGAAATAAAAAATAAAATACGGTTGTTTTATGCTCCAGAAGTCTTCCAGGACAGCACATCGTTTCATAAAATATGGAAATGAATATATATTTTAGATTTGGTGATACAGTATCCACCAGTGACCATATAGTCATGCTCTGCTGAGGTTCCTACTGTGTTCTGGATGTTTTTGCCACTGTAGGTGATGCACAGAGCAGTGTATTTTGAAGGCTGTAAAATGAACATTTAATGAGCAGTAATCTGTAGTGTGCCATGGAAGGACAGCTTTCATGCAGAATTGCTGTCATTGTCCACTTGAAAGTGTGAGTCATGTGGGGTGAGGGTTAAAGACATGGGTTAAAGAGTGGGAAAGATGAGAAAGATTGACAAAATGAAGGCAGGAACAAGTGACTTGGTGTTAACAGAGGTCAGAAGAGGAAGGTTGCAGATCAAGAGAGAGTGAAGCAAAGACAAAAAGAAGAAAATTGGATTCCAGAGAGAGAAAGGGAAATGGTGTGCTGAGGAAAAGAAAGCACACACAGAAACAAAAAGTAAGCTCAAGTAAGAGATCATTTTAGATTTGCATGGTTTTTATAGGGGATCTACCCAGCCACTGTTAAATGATTGATCCCGTCCTTTCCATTCCCACGATGGTACAAAAATATGGATCAAAGCATAGATCTTCATGACTGGAGGGGGGGGGGTGCTGTTAGTTAAGCATTTTATTTGTTTTTTTCAATACCGCAAAACAAGTTGTCAGACCCAACCCATCCATACCTCCCAGACATTGCCTTCCAGATTGTTACATGTGCAAAAACCTATCAATAG